AGAATGCTTGAAAGTCCTCTATTTCACTGAATGACCATTTTTTCCCCTGAAGGATTATACTCAGTTTTGCTGGGTAGGTGATTCTTGGTTGTAATCTTATCTCCTTTGCCCTCTGGAATATTATATTCCATGCCCTGCGGTCCTTTAATGTAGAAGCCGCTAAATCTCCTGTTATCCTGATTGTGTTTCCACAGTACTTGAATTGTTTCCTTCTGGAAGCTTGTAATATTTTCTCCTTGACCTGGGAACTCTGGAATTTGGCTACAATACTTCTAGGAGTTTTCCTTTGGGGATCTCTTTCAGGAGGAGATCTGTGGATTCTTTCAATTTCTATTTTGCCCTCTGGTTCTAATATCAGGGCAGTTTTCCTTGATAATTTCTTGAAAGATGATGTCTAGGCTCTTTTTTTGATCATGGCTTTCAGATAGTCCAATAATTTTTAAATTCTCTCTCCTGGATCTATTTTCCAGGTCAGTTGTTTTTCCAATGAGATATTTCACATTGTTTTCTAATTTTTCATTCTTTTGGATTTGTTTTACAGTGTCTTGATTTCTCATAAAGTCACTATCTTCCAATTGCTCTATTCTAATTTGTAAGGAAGTATTTTCTTCATAATCTTTTGGACTTCCTTTTCCATTTGGCCAAATTTCTTTTTAGGGCATTTTTCTCCTCATTGGCTTTTTGGACCTCTTTTGCCATTTGGGTTAGGCTATTTTTTAAGGTGTTATTTTCTTCAGTATTTTTTTGGGTCTCCTTTAGCAAGCTGTTGACTTGTTTTCCATGATTTTCTTGCATCGCTCTCATTTCTCTTCCCAGTTTTTCCTCTACTTCCCTTACTTGTTTATCAAAATCCCTTTTGAGCTCTTCCAAGGCCTGGGACTGATTCATATTTTTCTTGGAGGCTTTGGATGTAGGAGCTTTGACTTTGTTGTCTTCTTCTGGTTGTATATTTTGAACTTCTTTGTCACCAAAGTAAGATAATATAGTCTGACTCTTTTTGCACTGCTTGCTCATGATCCCAGCCAATTACTTGAGTTTAAACTCTTTGTTAAGGTAAGAGTCTGCTTCCAATGTGGAGAATGTACTGTCCCAAGCTTCAGGGGTTATACAGCTGTTTTCAGAGATACTTGTAGGGACCTGTAAATTTTCAGTTCTTCCAAAGGTGGTATGGTAAAGGGCAAGGTGTTTACTCCTTTCCTGTCCTGTGCTCTGGTCTATTAGTGACCACAAGTATTCCTTTCTGTCCTGTAACTGTGAGGAGGGTTTCTTCTACACAGCCACTACAAGCTCTACCACACCAGCACTCCTCCTTACTCTAGGTCCGCCCCTCAGAACTGTGACCCAGATCTAAGCATGGGCAAAGCAAGAGATTCCTGCCTCAGCACTGACAAAGAGATCCCTGCAATCCCCCTCTGACCAGTCACTCGATTTCCCCTCAGTCTGTGGGCTGGAAGCTCAGGATGCAGCCACCGCTCCAGCGCCCATGCTCTGTGCTCTGTGCTCTGGAGCTGGCTCTGACCTAGCTCCTCTCTCACCGCAGAAACAGACTTTTCCCACTGACCTTCTAAGTTGTCTTTGGTGTTTGTGGGTTCAGAGGTCTGGAAACCGCCACAGCTGCCTGAGATTCAGTCCTCTGAGGCCTGCTCCAGGTTCCCTGCTGCCTGCATGCCCAAGTTGCACTGCGCTCCTCTTTCTGCCCGGCACGTTGTCTTGGGCTGGAAATTTGTTTCACTCTGTCTTTTTGTGGGTTCTGCTGCTTTAAAATTTGCTTAGAGCCATTTTTTATAGGTATTTGGAGGGGTTTGGAGGAGAGCTCAAGCAAGTCACTGCTTTCACTCCGCCATCTTGGCTCTGCCCCCCCATGATTATTCTGAACAAAGATTTAGAATTGGAAGGGTCCCTAGAGATCTAATCTAACCCTCTCATTTTAAAGATGGAGAAACTGGGCCTTGGAAAAGGGAAGTGACTCACCCAAGGACACATGCTCATAAGTGGTTTGCATTCATGTGTCTCCTGACTTCTAAGACCTTTTTCAACCAGCACGTATTCAAGTTGTGCCTTGAAGAATGGATGAGATTTAATAATAATCATATTAATTAATTAATAATGTATATAGTAGTTTAAGGTTTGAAAAGCCTAAGATTTAATTTGATTTGGTCCTCACAACAACCCTAGGAAGTAGGTGCTATTATTATCCCCATTTTACAGATGGAGAAACTGAGGCAGAAGCAGTTAAAGTGACTTGCCCAGGTATCTGAGGCAGCTGTGAGTTTTGGCCTAAACAGCAACATTATGTGATGATTAACTATGATAGACTTAGTTCTTCTCAGCCATACAATAATCCAAGATAGTTCCAAAAGACTCACAATGGAAAATGCTAACCACATCCAGAGAAAGAACTATGGAGTCTGAATGCAGATCAAAGCATACTGTTTTCTCGTTTTTTTCCTTTCTCATGGTTTCTCCATGTGGTTCTGATTCTCCTTTCACAACACAACTAATGTGGAAATATGTTTAACATGATTGTATATATATAACCTATATCAGACTGCTTGCTATCTTGGGGAAGGGCTGAAGGGAAGGAAGGGAGAGAGAAAAATTTGAAACTCAAAATTTTATGAAAATGAATGTTGAAAACTATCTTTACGTGTAATTGGGGGGAAATAAAATATTATTAAGGGAAAAAAATAGGAAAAAATGAGTTTTGGCCTAATCTTGCGAAGAACAAGGCCTCTGCTTAACTTCCTAGCCATCTCCTTACCATGATGTCTGCACTCAGGCTATCATCCTCACCTCCCCCCACGGCAATCATAGACTCTGCCTCCATGTTGCCTGGCTCAGAAATAAGTCAATTTTCACCTTATTTTGTCCCTCCCTGTCCATTTCTACACTGTGCCCATCCTACCAAGAGTACTCCCATCCCTCCTTTTCCAGCACCTATGTCTGTGTTGTCTTTCCCCATTAGAGTATAAGCTCCTTGGGGGCAGGGACTTACTAGGTAGTAAGCTCTTAATTAATGTTCCATCTATTCATCCATCCATCCATCCATTTATCTATCAGCCTGTCTGTCTCTCCATCTATCCGTCATATATCCATCCATCTATCCATCTATTTAACTATCTATCCTACTTACTAACTATTTAGCTATCATCTATTTAGCTAGGTAAGTGTGTATGTATGTGTGTACATATATATATGTATGTAGCTATCTAGGTAGCTATGGTTTCTCTTTAACCTTACATGTCTGTTTCTTCCACAAAGAACTTCTCCATGACCCCCTCCCAAGAGACCTACCTATCTGTTTTTTCATGAGAACATAGTGACTTTATAATGGAAAGATAATTAATGAGAGAAGGACAAGCCTTTATTGTCACCATTGGGCACCCCCGCACATATATACAATCACATATTCCAATACAGAAAAGATAAAATATCTGGTTCCTTCTTCCTGCCAACTAAAAGCCCAAGGCATCATTGAAGTCTCCTTGGAGATTATCATAGGAGGACCAACCTACCACCTAGGCCCAGTGGGAAAAAAAAAAAAGAGATTGTCAGCTCCCTGTAAGACTGAGCTACTTGGAGACTTGATAGAATGAAGTAAATAGAGCAGAGGAGGGGGAATAAACATTTTTACTGTCACCAACTCAATTAGACAAACAGTAAGCACCTACTATGTGCAAGGCACCAGTACTACAAAGACAAATTAGTGAAACCATCCTGCCCTCAAGGAGCTTACATTCTATGAGGGGGAAATAATCTGTACGTAAGGAAATATTTGCTGATACATTAATCTCTAGCAGGAGAGAATTGGGGGAGGGAGAGATCACTAATGGGGGATCTGGAGAGGTTTCATGGAGGAGTTGGCACCTGAGATGAGCCTTGAAGGCAGGCAGGTTTCTGACAGGTGGACATGAGGAGGGAGGGTACTCCGGGCATGAAGAAAGGCTTGGCCGAGTTCACAGAGGTAAGAGATAGAGCAGTAAGTTTGGGGAATGGTGGGTGGTCCGGTTTAGTTGGAATATAGCATGAAATGAGGCTGGAAAATTAGGCAGGAATCAGATCATGGAGGGTTTCGAACACTGGGCTCAGGAATCGGCATCTTATTGTAGCCTAGGAGTTTGTCACCTGTGTTTGTATAGGGGACCCTTTGGAAGTCTGGGAAGCCAATGGACCCCTTCATCCTGAGGCCAGGATTTCTGCCACCTCCCCACCCCCTGGACTGAGGTCTCTATTCAACAAAGCTGCCACCTTGCTGGAACATTAAGAAGCATCCTGGCTCAGGCACCTCAGAAGCCATGGAGCTCATCTCCCTCATTTTACAGATGAGGAAAGGAAAGGCCAGAGAAGTTAGTGACTTGACTAAGGTCATATAGGTCATAAGTGGCAGAAATAGGATGTAAACTTAAGTCTTTTGACTTTCAGCCTTTCCAGAGACTCATGAATCCCGTGGATTTGGATGGTCTCTTCTGGCTTATGAGCAAAGGATCACAGCAGTGAGTCAGAAGGGGAGGGCGCTGAGAACCAGCCTTGGAACAACCAGCCTTGTTCCTGCTGTTTGGGGTGTGTGTGTGTGCATTTGTCAGTCAACTAGCCTTTATTAATTAAGCACCTACTATGTGCCAGGCACTGTGCTAAGCTTTGGGGATACAAAGAAAGGCAAAAATCAGTACCTGTTCACAGTCTAATCTGGGAAACAGCATGCAAACAGTTATGTACAAACAAGATAGAGATGGATAGGACAAATGAGATAATTAGGAGGAAAGGCATTAAGGTTATGGGAAGATGGGAAAGGCTTCCTGTACAAGGTGGGATTTTAGCTGGGACTTAAAGGAAGAGAGGAGGTGGGGATAAGAAGCAAGAGCATTCCAGGCATAGGGGAGAAACAATGTAAATGCTCAGTCTAGAGGAGGCCTGTCTTGTTTGAAGAACAGCTAGAGATGTGTGTGTGAGTGTTGAGTGTGTGTAAGTGTGTGTGAGTGTGAATGTGTGTGTGAGTGTGTGTGTGTATGCGTATGAGTGTGTGTGTGTGTGTGTGTGTGTGTGTGTGTGTGATGTTAGTGTGAATGTGCACATGCACACGCAGTCCAGTGTAACCCAGTGCAGCCTGAGTCTGTCTTGTCTCTGTGGCCAGGAGGCGATCTTAGGCTCTTGAAGATGATGCCAGAGGAGAGAAAGCTTAGGCAGATTCTACAAAGGTCTCAGGAGTAGATGGGATGTCCATGTCCAAGGACCAGCCCAGCAAAGTTCAGACTCGCTCATCCCCAAGCCAGCTACAAGGTAGAGTTTTTCAAGTCCAGTTAACTCTCCAAGAACAACTAGTGAGTTATGGAGGGATTGCAATCAGCATTGGAGGAGGGCATATTCTCCTCAGCAGAAGCACAGATGCTTGAAGTATTGGTGTAAATAGAAATGCCTTTAAAAACATGTGGATATTCACAGCGGAGGCATTTTGTCATTTCCTTGCTTATCGTGACCTCCCAAGTTCATAGTGCTCCACTCTTATGGAACTCAGTTCTTTTAGCAAGCTATTTCAGGGAACGCCTCCTCCTCTTCCCCAACCCCTACCAGAGCTTTCCTCGTCCATAGGTCGTGTTTAAGAGCTGGAAGCAACCTTACAGATGTTATCTAGTCCAATTCCTCTCATTTTACACATGAGGAAACCAAGGCCAAAGAAGGGGAAGAGACTTGTTAAAGTCACACAAGAGGTAAGTAGCAGAGTCAGAATTTGAATTCAGATCCTAGAATTCCATCTTTACAACCAGGGAGAATGAGAAGCTTCAGGCAAACTTTCCATATAATTCCTCTCAGCCTCCCTGGGGCCAAGTATTCAGAATTCCCATGCCCATCTCTCCCAGCACAGGGCCCACCTTTGTCTGAACCCTTTCTGGGCATTTGTGTAGAGGCAGGGTAGGTCAGTGAGGATTATGGGAGGAAGCTGTGAAGGGTCAGATCATCCCCATCGCACTCCTCCCCAGGGCCTTGGGTAGGCTTTAGAAGCTGGGTCTTGGCACTCGTGGGGCCCCCATTGGCCATGGGTGGTCCCTCACCCTCATGCAGCAGGGAGGAGATGCAGACCATCTCAGTGGGAGAGTAATCCCGAACCGGGTAAGTGTGGCCCTTCCTGGAGAGGCGGATGGCCAGGACCACAGTGCAGATGAGGAAGATGGTGGCAATGACGGCCAAGATGAGGACGGCCAGCAGACACTGCCTCACTGGGATCTGGTCAGAGAAGAACAGGTGGGCGGTGGTGGCCACAACCACCAGGGCAGTGGTATTGGAGAGTTCAATCTGCCCAGTGGCTACCTCGGGCTTGGGAGGATCTGAATGTGCATGAGATGAGGAAGGCGGGGAGAAAGTGGTAGAAAAATTGTGTAGGGGGTGAACCGTAGTAAAAAAAAGGGCCGAATCATTCAGAGAGGAAGCAGGACTGCTGTGGTTAGGTTTGAGCTCTGCTGGGAGGCTGGTGGGTGCCTCCCTTGTGGTAGCAGAGTCTGTGACCAGCTGCCCCATGGTGGGAGTTATAGTCTCTGCCTTGTCTGTGTCCAAAGCCAGGGTGACCGTGGTTGATGGGTCTGTGGCTGATTTCCCTGTGGCAGAGATAGCCATTGCCTCTGTGCCAACATCGCCTGCAGTGGAGTTATGGATGACCTGCTCTCCTGGACTTGGGGCCTTGGAAGTTGACTCCACCGTGGTAGAGACAACGATTTCTGGTGCATCCGTAACCACTTTTTCCGTTGTGAGGTCATGCGTGGTCTGCTGCCCTGTGGAGGGCAAACCTGAAGTAGGTAGGGGGGGATGCATGGTACTCCTATCCGTGGCTTCTGTAGTCAACTCCTCCGTGGCCAGCTTCCCTTTAGTGCCCTGTGTCGTGGGTTCACTTCTGACCAAGTCCGTGGTGACAGGAGCACTCGTGGACCCCTGCTGTGTTCCTTGTGCCATGACTGTTGGCAACGCAGTTAAATTGTCATAGTCCATCAACTCTGGTGTTGGGGTTTGATAATGTTCATAATCGTCGTCATTGTCCTCAGGGAAACTTCTCTTGACTCGGTCGACTAAGGGCTCTCTGGCCTCTGACGCTTTACCCCATATCCACGGGGCCTTGCTGGCCCCAGTGGGCTGCCCATACCCATGAGGCTGCAGGGTCAGGAGGAAGAGGAAAGCAATCACAGACATGACACCTAGAAGACAAGGAAGAAAAGGATCAGGGCTTCACTAATTCAGTAGCTCAGTTCAATGACCCAAAAAGGGGAGATGGACTCCAAGGCCATTCACTTTGAAATTCTACCAGAATAATAGGCAGCTAGCATTTGCATAATGCTTTAAGGTTTGCAAAGCACTTCACACACATTATTTCATTTTCTCCTTGCTCTAGGAAGCAGGTGCCATTACTATTCCCATTTCACAGATGAAGGAACTGAGGCTTGGGTAACTTTTCCAAGGTCACACTACCAGTAAGTGTCTGAGGCTGGATTTGAACTCAGGTCACCCCAACTCCAAGTCCTATGAACCTATACCTATTCCTGTCCTAGGAACTGAAGAGGAGGCTGAAGAGCTGGGAGGTGGAGAAGAATACTTTTCCTCTCTTCAGGTGTTTGAAGGACCATCATGTGGAAGAGTGAACAGATTTGTTGTGATTGGCCGTGGAGGGCACAACCAGGAAAATGAGGGAAAGTTGCAGAAAGACAGATTTCAGTTTAACTGAGGTAAGAACTTTTCGGAGAGACTGTGAGGAAACAAGGTTGACTGGTGTGGGGTATTGGGAGGGGGCAGTGCAGATTGCTTAGATGATATTTTTTGTTGTTCAGTTGTTTCAGTCACGTCTGATTCTTCATGACCCTGTTTGGGGTTTTCTTGGCAAAGATACTGGAGTGGTTTGCCATTTTCTTCTCCAGTTCATGTTATAGATGAAGAAACTAAGGCAAACAGAGTGAAGTGACTTGCCCAGGGTCACACAGCTACTAAGTATCTGAGGACAGATTTGAACTCAGGTCTTCTTGACTCCAGGCCTGGCGCTCTATGTGTTATGGTGCCACCTAGCTGCCCTAAATGATATTTAATAGAGATAAATATATAAAGTCTTAATGTGGGTTAAAAAAATCACAGCTACAAGGCGGGGGAGGTGAGGCTAGATAGCAGTTTGTGTGAAAAAAAAAAATCGAGAGAATCCCAAGTCTGTTCTGGTAAAGGTAGGACCCACTCTTAAGTCTAATCTGCAGGGAATAGAGCACTGGCCCTAGAGTCAGAAAGACCTGAGTTCAAATCCAGCCTCAGACACTAGCTGTGTGACCCTGGGCAAGTCATTAACCCCATTGCCTCAAAACAAAAAAAGTCTCAGCTGCATTATTACCATTTCCTCCCTCGCTTTCTTAAATCTAGACAATCAACAAAACAACAAGTCAGGCCCCATCTGATGAAACTTAACCGTGGGCTCCCAGCTGGAGATTGCTTGGACACCCCTGGCTTAGTGCACTTCAGGGTCAATACAAGTCAGTGATGTCTTAGGGCCTGAAGAAAACTAATGCAATCTCTCAGGCTGCATTAAAAGCCTCCCAGCATCCAGGGGTGAGGATGGTGTCCCACTGTGCTCTATGCTGATCACATCACCTGGATAAGGCTATGGCCCATTGTATTTACAACGCTAACCTATCAGAGGAAGATGGCCAGGCCTGGGAAGAGACTAAGAGCTTGCCATACAAGACGTAGTTAAAGGACCCAGACCCCTGATCAATGCAATGGGCAACCAGGACTGGAGAGGCCCAAGGGTGGAGCGTGTTACCCATGTCTGAGAGAGAGAAGAGGGACTCCAAGTGGAATGAAGCAGACTTTTTTGGACGAGGCCAATGCTGGGTTTGGCTTGACTACCTATATTTGTGTGAATGATTTTTTCTTTTTCTTTTCCAATGGAAGGAGGGGAGGGGAAAATAAAGAGGACAACTAGCAATAACGTTGGCAAAGAATAAAATATGGGACAAGAAAGAAGGTCTCTAAAGCATCTTTAAAAAAATGTCCTTAAATGAACAGAAGGAGACACAGACAAGCAGGACAGCTTTGAAAGTAATGTGGAAATATATATACATATAATTCCACATTACTTTTTTTTTTTGGGTGAGGAAATTGGGGTTAAGTGATTTGCCCAGAGTCACACAGCTAGTGAGTGCTATGTGTCTGAGGTCACATTTGAACTCAGGTTCTCCTGACTCTAGGGCCGGTGCTCTACCCACTGCACCACCTAGCCGCCCCTCCACATTACTTTCAAAGTGTATGTATACTTATATGTACATATATACTTATAAATATATGTAAAACAAGCAGTATATAATAGAGATTCACAATGTCATATGCAATCTTTTTTTCTGTTCTACTTTGTATATCCAATTCTCTTTTTTCCATATTTAAATGAAGAATAAAATAATATTAATTTTTTTAAAAAAATTAATGGAACAGAGATGTTTTGCCTGAAGAAGTCAGTCAGTCAACAAAAACTTATTAAATACTTACTACATGCCAGGTACCATGCTAAGCTCAACTCTGGGGATATATAGAAAGGCAAAAAAGTCCCTGCCTTCAAGGAGTGTTTATTCTAATGACAGAAAACATGTATAAATAATAAGATACCTCTAAGTTATATACAAGTGGCACAGTGAATAGAGCGCCAGGCCTGGAGTCAGGAATACTCATCTTCCTGAGTTCAAATCCAACCTCAGACACTTACCAGCTATGTGGCCCTGGGCAAGTCACTTAACCTGATATGCCTCAGTTTCCTCATCTGTAAAATTAACTGGAGAAGGAAACGGCAAACCACGTCGGTATCCCTACCAGGAAAACCCGAAACTGGGTCAGCATGCAAATCCTGGGATCGTTTTAAAGCACCATTTCAATCCTAAGATGCCATCATTCATGAAGCAAAGTTGGCGATAAAAGGCAGCTCTGGTACTTGCTGGCCTACTTCAAGTTCCTCATACCGAAACTAACATCCCTTGCCTACACACTTACATCTATGCCTGGATGCATTCCATCTTTATCTTTGCTTAATAGAATCCCAAACTTCCTTTACGGCTCAGTTCAAGTGACTTAGGATCACAGATCTTGAGAGAAGGGGCATCAGAGGTCATGGGGAAAGGTGGGGGGACCAGCTCCCTTCATTTTACATGTGAGGAACCTGGGGTTCTTGTCTGGATCCACACAAGTAGTAAGTGGTAGCATCTACATTTGAACCCAGATCCTTGGACTCCAAAGCCAGCCTTGATTCCATTAGTGTTATTACTATTATTATTGGGGAAGCAGGACAAAGTTCTAGAAGGCCCCGGGGAAAGCAACCTCTCAGGATACATGGACGAGCCTCTCTGTTTTCTTCTCGTTAGCTCCAGCCTGAGTGGAACAGTGAGAGGGTCTGGGTTCAAATCTCAGTCCTGCTGATCGCTACCTGTGTAACCTTGAGAAAGTCTTTCTCCCTCTCTGGGCCTCAGTTTCTTCCTCTGTAAAATGAGGAGGTTGAGCTAGATGGCATCTAGGGTCCCTTCCAACCCCAGATCTATGATCCTGTGAGCCTCTCCAGTCGGGTGCAGGCCAGTGCTGGCCACGTTGACTTTCTAAATCTGCTCTCCCTGGCCCTGCAGAAGAGAACTATGTCCAGGAGGCCCTCACCCTAACAACATGTCTCCCTGGCAGCAGAGGCACAGTGAGAAGGAGCTGACCAGAAATCGGGCCTAGGGTGGAGCTAGGGGCCAGTTACAGGAAGATTGAGTTCAAAACCACTTCCTGGAAACTGGAGGATGTCACAGGGCACTAGAGCACCCATTGTTTCTCTGGAGGTGTTGTGGCATCTTCACTGAAGCTGAACATCTTGGTCTGGGGAAGAGGCTCCCATGAGACTTCCCTCCTGATTAGAGGAGAGGTCGATGGACAGGCCAATGCCTAGTAGGAGACTGAGGCTTGAAATAGGATGGATTCTCCATCTCCACCTTCCCTCTCTTCCTCTCTCCCCTCCCCACATCTCCCATATTCAGGGGCATTCAACCTGATACATGGAGAGTTCAATAATTGGGCACCCACAATTCCCTGATAATACTTCATTTCCCCAGGGAGCAACTTAAGGAGATGGACAGAAAGCTCTGTTCTGGGAGTGAGCCACCATGGCCAAGATAATCACTGATGGTCAGAGAGAGCGGGGCTCTAGAACATAGAATGTCAGAACTGTCTATCCATCCAACCAACTCACTATCTTTCTATATCCCTCCTCCCTCTTGAGGCTAAACTCCTTGAGAAGGTGGCCTACAATTAATGCCTCTACTTCCCTCCTTTCCACTTTTTTCTTAACTGTCATCATTCAACAGAAACTGCTCTCTCCAAAGTTACCGGAATCTAATGACCATTTCTTAATCTTCCTCCTTCTTTACTTCTCTGAAGCCTTTGATGCTGTCAATTACCCTCTTTTAGGTTTCCTTGATACTATCGTCTCTTGGTTTTCCTCCTACCTATCTGGCCACTCCTTTTTAATCTTTGTTGCAGGATCTTTAATCTTTAATCTTCATCCAGGAAATGCCCACTAATTCTGTCCTGGGCACTCTCCTCCTCTCCCTCTATACTATTTCACTTGGTGATCTCGGTGGATTCAATTATCGTACCTATGTCCATGTATCTCAGATACATGTATCCAGCCTCTCTCCTTACCTTCAGTCTCATATCTCCAATTGCTTATTGGGCATCTCAAACTGGATGTCCCACAGGCATCTTAAACTCAACATGTTCAAAACTGAACTCATTATCTTTCCACCCAAATGCTCCCTCTTCTTAACTTCCCTATTATTGTCTAGGACAACATCATCCTCCCAGTCCCTCAGGCTCAAAACCTAAGTGTCGTCATCAGCTTCTCTCTCTCACCCTCCATAACCAAGTTGTTGCCAAGGCCTCTCAATTTCAGCTCTGCAGCATCTGTTGTCCATTTCACCTTTGGAACATCTCTGGTCAATTTCACCTCTGCAGCATCTCTCCTCCATTTCTCTTTCACAACATCTCTGGTCAATTTCAGCTCTGCAGCATCTCTGCTTGATTTCCAGCATCTCTCAAATATGCTCCCTTGTCTCCTCAGGCACTGCCCCCACCCTGGTGCCTCATACCTGGACCATTGCAATAGTTCCTGGAGGGGTTTGGGAGGGGTCTGCCTGCCTCCGGTCTCTCCCCACTCCAATCTATCCTCTACTCTGATGCCAAATTAATTTTCCTAAAACACAGTTCTGACCAAACCAGTCCTCTACTTGGTAAGCTCCAGCGGCTCCCTATCACCTCCAGAATCAAACATAAAATCCTCTTTGTAGCATTCAAAGTCCCTCATTACCCGCCTATCTTCCATCTTTCTCATCTGCTTACACCTCACTCCCCTGATGTACTGTGAGATCCAGTAACACTGGACAGAACAACGTATTCCTTTCTGTTCCTCAAACAAGACCCTCCATCTCCCATCTTGAATATTCTCTGGTTGTCCCCAGGTCTACACACTCTCCCTCCTCCTCTCTGCCTCCTGGCACATCTGGCTTCCTTCAAAGCTCAGCTAAAACTTCACTTTCTACAGGAAGCCTTTCCTGGCCCTTTCCATCATTTGAGTTTTTGATTTGTTTTTTGTTTTATTTTGTTTTGCTAGACAATGGGGTTAAGTGACTTGCCCAGGATCGCACAGCTAGTTAACCGTCAAATGTCTGAGGCTGGATTTGAATTCAAGTCCTCTTGACTCCAGAGCCAGTGTTGTATACACTGTGCCACATAGCTGCCCCACCTTTCCATCAATTGAATACCTTCCCTCTGGGGATTATCTCCAATCGTCCTGTCTATATATTGTTTGTATATTCTTGCTTACATATTGTCTTCCCCATCAGACTGTGATGAGAGCAGGGACTGTCTTTTATCTTTCTTTGTATCCCTAAGCACTTATCAGGCAACTAGGTGACACAGTGGGCAGTCCCCTGGGTCTGCACTCAGGAAGACCTGAGTTCAAATCTGCCCTCATACTCTTAGTAGCTGTGTGACCCTGGGCAAGTCACTTCACCCTGTTTGCCTCAGTTTCCTCATCCGTAAAATGAGCTGGAGAAGGAAATGGCAAACCACTCCAGGATCTCTGCCAAGAAAACCCCAAATGGGGTCCCGAAGAGTCAGACATGACTGAAGCTACTGAACAACAATGCTGAGCACAATGCCTGGCATCATAGGTGCTTAACAGATACTTGTTAATTGACTGAGTAGTAGGGAACTCTGCAGAAACCACAAAGCTAGAACACAGAGCGCAGAATGCTACAATTTTGGACATAGAAGTTCAGAGAATTCAGACCTAGAAGGAAACTTAGTACATAGAATGTTACAACATTAAACATAAAATGTAATATAGAACATAGATGTCACAGAATATCAGATCTAGGAGGGGCCTTAGATATCCAGTCTCTTATACTATTAAGGAAACAGAAAGGGCATATGACTAGCTAGGTGGTGCCATAGTGCACAGAGCGCTCACTAGACCTGGAGTCCTGAAGAACTGAGTTCAAATTTGACCTCGTGTAGTAGCTGCATGACCCTGGGCACGTTCCTTCACCTCTGTTTGTCTCAGTTTCCTCATCTGTAAAATGGGGATAATAGGAACACCTGCCTCCCAAAGTTGCTGTGAGAATCAGAAATAATATCTGTAAATCACTTTGCAAACCTTAAAACGCTCTATCAATGTCGGCTTATTATTTTATAGCAGGGCCATGGTATATCCCAAAGCCTACTTTATCCCCTCTCCTAAGACAGTGACCCAAGTGAGCCCTCTGTTTTCAACACCCAGGCCCATGAGGGTTGGAAAGGTTAGGGAGTCAGATCAGCCTGTGGTATCAGGAATGGGAGGGTGGAAGTGGGGTCCCCAGCCTCTTTGTACAAGTTCAGCATCATGGAAAGAGCCCTAAAACTAAGAGTAGAGACATGGTTTCATATCTCAGCTCTTGTACCTTCTGGTTGAGCGATTTTACTCTCTCAGAGCCTCAGTTTCCTTATCTTATCCCATCTATAAAATGGGAATAATGATCCTTTCACTCCTCATCCCAAAAGACTGTTGGAAGGAAAATATTTTGTCAGCCTTAAAAACCTAGATGAATATGAATCATTAGAATGGCGCTTTCCAATTTGTCTCTCCCTGGGCCTGATTGGCCAGTCTAGGACCTACAAAGCGCTAAGGAGAGAGAGCAGAAGAGAGACACTCAGACAAGTCTCTGCAGATAGGATTGCAGAAATCATCTCACCCAACCTAGCCCCTCTCTTCATTTCACAGATAAGGAAACTGAGGCCCAGAGATGTGAAGTGACTTCTCCAAGGTATCGTAAGTTGTACCTGACACAGTTGGGATTCAAACCCTGACTCTAAATCCAGAGCTTTTTTCACTGCCTGATGCTAGCTCCCCACATACAATCTGGACAGTGTAAGGAGGCATGTGGGCAAATGAGAGCATGGCCAGGAACAGGAAACAAGAGAAAAGGGTTTGTTGGAGGTCCCAACCTACCACCCCAATCACCCTTGGTCCCCTAGCATCCTCTAGGAAGCAACTTCTGTACCTCAGTTTCCTTATCTGCAAAATGAAGGGGATGGACTGAATGACTGGACTAGCTCTAAATCTATGATACCGATAGCATACCCTGCCCCCCTCCCAGCTGCTGGTGCGTCCCCCTCCTCCCAATTACTTGATATTCATTATGTTTATCATTTACATCATTTGCATCCTTTACATTAGGATATAAGCTCATTAAGGGCAGGGCATACTGCATGTTTGTCTTGGTATCTCTGGCGCCTAGAGTCAGAGCTAGGTGCAGAAGAAATGCTTGTTGGTGAATTGGTTCATTGATTGATGCGTGGGTTAAAGGATCCTTTTGTCGGTCCTGGTGCCTGGCATCTAAATGTGACTGAGAAAATGGGCTTGGATTTATTCTGGGTCTTGAGGATCCCCCAGTCCTGGGATGATGGAGCAGGTTAGGATGGAGTGAACTGTGGCTGCCTAGCCCAGGCCCGAGCTTTCTTCTCATGAGTGCGTGGATCCCCAGACACCCATCCCCATCCCCAAGGGGACCTGTGAGGGTTTCAGCCTGCCACCGGTGCCAGACTGTGACTTCAAGCGAAAACTAGAAGCTTTCTAGAAGTCAAATCATCCAGGTAGCACAGCCTCTTCCAGTGTCTGTGGGTTTCAATCACCCCTGATCGACCTGGCCTGCAGTCAAGCATACTAGGCAGAGAGAGAGAGAGGCTGGTGATGAAGGGCAAGCTTAAAAATAAGCACTTGCATTGGGCCACCTGGCAATATCTTGGGAGGAAGCAAGGGGAGCAGATCCCACCCTTCTTCCCAGGAAGCCATGCCACAGGAGGAGCTCTCAAAGAAAGGGCAGGGCCAGAGTCTCATAGAGGAAGAAAGGGAGTCCACCCACAGGGAGGGTGCAGAGGGCGTTGCCTGGTATACTCACTGAACCTCCCAGCCTATCTCCCAAGGTTTCAGAGTCCATAAACCCAGTTGGGTTGGGCTGTAATGGAATAGAAAATGTCCCAGATGGAAGCAATCTTTGAGGTCCTCTAGAAAAGGGGTTCTTAATTGGGAATCATTGGTTAATTTTAAGGGGTCCATGAATTTTGATGGGGAAAAAAATCCGTCTTTATTTCACTAGAATTGGTTTTCTTTGTCAACTTACGTTTCATGCATTTGAAAACACAATTCTGAGAAGGGCTCCCTAGGTTTCACCTGAACCCAAAAGGTTAAGGACACTTGATCTGGTCCAGGCCCACCATTTGACTCGGGGAGCAAGAGACAGGAGACTTACAGAAGAAGGAGTGGGTTGCTGAAGTCTCACTACTAGGAAGGAGCAGAACTCAACCTATCGGGCATTCTACCAATTTTGAAGACTTGGAGGAAGCCCAGAGTAGGATAGACCAGTCACACATGAAGGCAGGGTAGAGACCAGACCTGTGATTTCACAGGTACAGGGAACTCCTTCTGCCAATGCAGGTTTCTCTGCAGTTTATAATGCTAGAGTTTTGCCTGAGGCGTCGAGAAATTCAGTGACTTACTCAGGAGGCTCACCCCAGAGGATTGTAAACTCTGAGTTCCTGGTTTGGAGGCCAGTGTGCTATCCACTATAGCATAAAGCAGTAGTCTGTAATCTCCCCACAGTGAGACTTCTCTCACCAAGTCCAGTGTTCTGCCCATTAGCTCACCCTGCCTCCTGCTCCAGGAGATGTCTTTGTACAGACACTAACTCAGTACGAATATTCACCACACCCTCTCTGTCATCATAGCAAGTCCAAGGTCACCTGGTCCCAAAGAACCCAGTGGACCCTGCTGAGGTTTGCTGAGCCTTGGGGATGCTTGCCTGCAGCGTGGAGGCCCATGGTAGCCTCCCCTCCCCTCCACACACACAGCCCAGCTTACCCTCTTCAGCAGACTGTGGAAGGAGAAACCAGTGGGGTGGCTCTGGACCTCAGACCAGGAAAGACTGCCCACTACCCGCTTCACTGCTGTGGTGACATCCTATCCTCATGCAGGGAACCATGAGGATGAGGGCCCACGGAAGGATCGGTGGCACTACCTGCCTGGGTCTTTGCTCTCCAGCACTGCGCAAAAGGAGGAAGCATGGCTGTGGTTAAGGCCATGTGACAGCACCCTCCCATCCCCTTCTTGTTTATCAGACCCTTTGTGGCATAGCTGAGCAAGACTTGGAAGGGAAGCGAGAAGAGGGGGCGAGGGGTGGAGCAGTGGCAAAGACTCCGGGTTTGGAAACACCTTGTATGGTTCACCAGCCGAGCTTCCATTTAAGTGGGCCAGCTTAGAACCCCCAGGGACACTGGGGGCTGGGACTTGCCTGGTACCAGCCTTCTGAGGAGCCCAATGATGGAGCAGGGAGAAAGAACCCCATTGGCAAAAGAGCTACACCCCAGTACTATCTCAAAGGGAAGGAGGAATCAGATAAGAAATAGGGTCAAGTTCTCTATTTCAGCTTATGAGAATGAAAATCAAACCCAGAATCTTTTTTGAGGTTATGCAAGAGCAAGGCAAGATAGAGAATTTTTTAAAAGCTTTTTATATATTTATTAAAATTAATCTTTTAAAAAGTATCTACTCTATTAATATTCAAGGCCTAATGATTAAATATAGTTTTTACTTTTTTTGTAAATAGTGTTTTATTTTTTCCAATTAAATATAAAGATAGTTTTTAACATTCATTTTTATAAGATTTTGAGTTCCAAATTTTTTCCCTCCCTTCCTCCTCCCTAAGACAGCAAGCGATCTGACATAGGTTATACATGTACAATCATGGAAACATTGCCACGTTAGTCGCGTCGTAAAAGAAGAAACAGAAAACAGAGAAAAGACACACATACACACCAAAGTGAAAATAGTATGCATTGATCTGCATTCAGACTCCATAGTTTTTTCCCTGGATGTGGACAGCATTTTCCATCATGAGTCCTTTGGAATTCTCTTGGATCGTTGTATTTCTGAGAAGAGTGAAGTCAATCATAGTTGATCAATGTGCAATGCTGCTGTTGAGCAATATTCTCCTGGTTCTGCCCATTTCACGCTGCATCAGTTCACGTAAGCCTTTCCAGGTTTTTCTGCAGTCTGCCTGCTCATCATTTCTTTTAGCATGCTAGTTTTGCATTACATTCATAATCATTCCCCTCAAGTTCCAATTCTTTGCCACCACAAAAAGAGTTGTTATAAATCTTTTTCTACATGTAGGTCCTTTCCCCTTTTTTATGGGATTGCTGGATCAGAGGGCATGTGTGCACAGTTTGGCTGCCCTTTGGGCATAGCTCCCAATTGCTCTGCAGAACAGTTGGATCAGTTCAAGTGGTTACTTTTTATTTCATTAAGATCATAAAACACAAAACATTAATGTTGAGAGAAATCTTACAGAGGATCTATGGGAGCTAGAATATGGAATGTCAGAGCTGGAAGGAACCTCAGGAAATAGTGTCGGAGCTCAGGAGGATCTTGGAACAGAAAATTTCAGAGCTGAAATCAGGCCTTAACCCGTAGAATGTTTGAGCTGGGAGAGATCTTAGAAGATTCAATGTTAGTGATGGGGGCAATCTTAGATAAATAGAATTCAATTAAAATCAGTAAACATTCACTAAGTCTCTACTTTGTGCTAGGTTCTATGCTGGGCACTTGGTATACAAAAACAAGCAAATGAACAAAACCATGACTCATATTACTAGTTTCTCATCTCTGATGTCACAGATAGTGAGATGCTGGGAATTGACCAGCAAGGCCTGAGCTATACAAGCATGGGTTATAGAAGGTTCTAGAAAAGAGCGGAAGAAAGGGGCTAAAACAGAGACAGCCTATAGCAATAAAGGATAGCAACCCCCTGCCTGGAAAGAGAGAAAGAAAGAAGGAAAGAAAGAAAACAGAGAGGTGGATTTTTGTTTGTTTTCTTATTACTATGGTAAAAAGTGGACTCAGAGCTAAATAGCAAATACATCCCAGACCAGCAACAGCAAAACCTCAAAGCCTGGCTGTGGAAATCCCCACTGGGCCAGCGTGGGCTATGGGGGGGAAAACAGAGGCCAATATAAACAGTGCATCCACCTGCCCTCCTCTATCTCGTCACTCAAATTCTCTCCAATGAGAGAGGCTTGCTAAGGTGTGCTAAGCATATAGCCGAGGAGAATTCTTCAGGAAGGGTTTCCCTTGGCCACAGGGCCAATGAGCCAGAGGATAGGAAAGGCTTTTCCCAGGGGGACAGAATCTGTTGGGGCAAAGGGTCCCAACATGCAGAGCCCTAAGTAGGAAGGCTTGTGCCAGGGGCAAATTGGTGGAGGTTGGAGTGGGGGTGGAGGATCAGAGGACAGGCTGCTCCCACTTGTCTGTATCCTCTCACAGAGTCTGCCCCATGGCCCCCTGGGAAGAGGAAAGAGGGGGACAGGTGAAGGGAATAAGCATTTATTTCACACCTACTATATGCCAGGCAGGGGCAGCAGGTGGTGAAGTAGATAGAGGGCCGGGCTTGAAGTCAGGAAGACTCATCTTCCTGAGTTCAAATCTGTGATGATTAAAAAAGTTAGAGAGACATAGTTCCTGGGTAATTTAATCATTTTATTAATAAGGCCAGCACATTATTAATAAAAGGATGATCATTTGGCTGTCCTTTTTCTCTCAAATCTGGCCTCAGACACTGACTAGCTGTGTGATCTTGGGCAAGTCACTTCACCCTGTTTACCTCAGTTTCCTCATCTGTAAAATGAACTGGAGAAGGAAATGGCAAATCACTCCAATATCTTTGCTAAGAAAACCCCAAATGGGCTCATGAAGAGTCAGACACGACTGAAACAACTGAACAACAACAGGAACCTGCCAGGCACTGGGCTAACCACATAGTGTGCTTTATTAGGACAGTAAACAAGACGAAGAGAGGTGTTCAACAGTGATGGGATCCTAGGGCTGGTGGCCCAGGGCAGGAAGCACATCCCAGGGAAAACTCCCTGATGCCTTGAACCGGCCACAGCACTAACTCTGATAACCAGAGGGAAGGGAAGGGCGAAGTTGATGCTGGGCAGGCCGGGTCTCCTTTGCCTTTGTCAAATGGAATCTGTAGGCAAAAGACAGACATGGGGTAGGATAGTGTAGTATATGGTGGAGGCAGTAGCTGGCTGGCTTTGAAGGCAAAGTCAAAAGAAGTGGCTAACTGACCCTCCCTTTCTTGGACAGGTGGGGGGCCATGGGTGTGGAATATCGCATACACTCTCAGATCTATTGATGTTGATTCATTTTGTTGAACTATTTCATCTCTCCCCCCCACCCCCACTGGGAATAGAGATATGTTTAGAAACAAAGGTCGTGTAAAACAAAAGATAACGATAATTTTTAAAAGATAGGGCTGAGTCAGACAAGAGTATGGCAATTATTTCTGCTTAAAAATAAGTTGAGTAATTATACAGCACTTATCACAGTTCCTGGCACACAGTAGGTGCTTAATAAATGCTTGTTCCCTCTGCCCTCTTACCCAGGATTCCAAGCTCCTCGAGGGGAAACACTCATTCATATACATGTCTATAGCTTATTAGCTCAGAGATCTAGAGCTGGGACAGACCTCCAAGGCTTCTGAGTCCAACCTCATTTTACAAATGAGTAAACTGAGGCCAAGAGAGTGAAGTGACTTCCTCAAGGTCACACAAGGAGTGTCAGAGGCAGGGATTTGAATCCAGGTCCTCTGACTTGAGACCCAGCGCTCTTTGTAATGTACCATGTTGCCTCCTGGATACAGGATCAGAGGGTCTGGGTTCAAATCCTGACTTCTGCTACTTACAGTTTCTGTGATCTTGGGCAGGTTGCTTCACTGTCCTCAGAAAAATCATAAGATTGAACCTGATGAACTCTAAGGCTGCTCTTAGTCCCAGACCCTGCGATCACAACTGGCTCACTTTGGGGGCCTTAGGTACAATGGGTGTTCAATAAATGTTCAGTCTTTTCAGACTCTTCATGACCCCATTTGGGGTTTTCTTGGCAGAGATCCTGGAGTGGTTTGCCATTTCCTTCTCCAGCTCATTTTACAGATGAGGAAACTGAGGCAAACAGAGTGAAGTGACTTGCCTAGGGTCACACAGCTAGTCTGAGGCCACATTTGAACTCAGGTCTTCCTGACTCTAGGCTGGCACTCTATCCCCTGCACCACCTACCTCCCAACCAAGAGATTTCAGCTTTGCCCCACCTCCCCCACCAAGTTTTACAGAGCTCTGCCCCCTGCCCCCTGGTCATATTACCTACTCCCATTTGCTACTCCACCAAAAATCCTTCAGATTGTTGTTTCCCTGGTGGGTTAAGCTCCTTAAACCTCAGTTTTCTCACCTCCAAACACAACATAGGCGCCAGCTCCCAGCCTTTCCTGACTCTCTCCCCGATCCCAAAATTATAATAATAGATAATAGTAAGGACAATCCCCTTCACCCAGGCCTCTGTGCTTCCAAAGAATTCTCACGACCCCGAGGAGGTGATGCAAGGGCTCTTCTTCCCATTCTGCAGACAGGAAACTGAGGCTCACAGGGGGTTAAAGATCGTACTGCATGCCACATAGCTAGAAGGTGGTGACAATATGGGGTTCAGAGCCTCAGTTCCATGCTCGTACTGCCCTCAACAACTCTTGTTGAGACCTAAAAGTGTTGTGACTTCAGAAGGGCAGCTCCTTCTTCTGAGTCTGCGGCTACCCTGTGGGAGGGAAGGTGTGAGGGGACCAAGCTCACGCCTGGTCTTCCCCTCTCAGCCTTCCACCACTCAGACTGAAACCCCTCACATCCTTAATGAGATCAAACCAGGACAGCTCTGAGGTCTGGGTTGGAGCATCCCCAGGGTGGCAGGGACCATTCCCGCTAAGGCAGAAGACTGCAGCTTGGGCGGTGCAAAGAGCCTCTGGCTTCTCTCCCTGGTTCTGCCACTCACTCATTGTGTGACTGGGCGTGAGTCGGTGCCTTCTCCCTGGGCTTTCGCTTCCCCCTCTGGAAACTAAGGGGCTGAGGAATGCAGAAGAGAGATTTTTGAATGATACATTGAAGAATACATAGTATCTTCATTTTCTCTTCAAATATGGATGTGAAAATGTTCATTTTATTGGGTGTTTGCTAAGTTTAGAATAA